ATACATTTAAATGCATTTTATTAGTATTATCAGCTATAAAAATAATGAATATAAACTTTAATTTATAGACATTTTTCGACCTCGTGAACCGTGACGTCATTGGGAGCACGTTGGCCGGAAGTTGCCTAAGTAGCAAGCTGTCATCGGACCCGCTAGCTGCGAGCTGTACCCACAACACGTCTAAACAGTAGTTTTAGATCGTCATCAAGTAGAAGGCAAATTAGCTTCTGTCGGGATATGGATGACGACGTGCTGACGACGTTGAAACTGTTGATAATTGGCGAAAGTGGAGTCGGAAAGTCCAGGTTGGTGGTGGTTTGTATCGAGCTTCCTAGGTAGCCTGTTGTGAATATTGGCATCCGTCTTATGCAAGTTTATTCCATGTCATTCCCTACTGCTCAGCTGCTGTTGCTACAGCTGGCTAGCAGTGTTGGTGCCCTACCAGTTTTGTCTAAAATAATAAGTTGACTTTAGGTGATTCAGTATCGCCAATGTTATCTTATGCAATTGTTAAACCTTCTATTTGTGTTTTTCTTTACAGCAAGGTATTGTAACGTGAAAGTAGAATGGTATTTGTAGTAATGTCAACCTAAAACTGTTTAGATGGTGTGATACTGTGAGCTTTCTGTAACTGACAGGCTTTAGTCCGCTCACAAAAGCCTGCTGTACTGCCCTCTGCTCATTTCCATGTCACCTTATCTTCCCCAACAGTCTTCTCCTGAGGTTCACAGATGACACTTTTGATCCAGAGCAGTCAGCAACAATAGGTTTACAAACACACACATACAAAGATCCATGTAAACTGCTGTTTTTTTTTCATGAATCATTTAAAGCCCCTTCTCTTTTCTCTCTCTTATGACCGATCAGGTGTGGACTTCAAAGTGAAAACACTCTCCATAGACGGGAACAAAGCAAAGCTCGCCATATGGGTAAGTCTTTGTGCTACTGTTTATCTCACAGGAAAAACATACTGAAGCACAGACGTTCCCCACAAGATGGCGACATTGCACAACCAGAGCACACAAAGAAACTGAAACCAATGAAGCATCCTGTCATCAGGAGCATAGTGGCAGGTCCAATGTCCACCAAAAACACACTGTGCACAGTGAACCTATAATCCAAGTCCTTAACACTGAACTCCACTTTATTATTTCTCATCTCAGTGAAAATGTGTGTGTGTGTGTGTGTGTGTGTGTGTGTGTGTGTGTGTGCAGGAGAACACCAGGGCTTCAGAATACTAGAGTATGGCAGCACCTTATGTTGTTACATGGGCTGAGGCAGGTTCCCAGTTTATACTGAATGTTGGTTAGCATTGTTTTTCCAGATTTAAAAACTATATATTATTGTGTTGCTCTGTCTAATTGGATAACCACAAATTAATAAGATAATTATATAAAAAAAGAATTTTGTGGTTATTTTGGTTTGTAAGTTCAGCATTATTTTACCAGGAAATCTTACTGAAGTCAGGGTCTCTTTTGCAACAGAGCCCTAGAAAAAAAATTATATAATACATAATATTAAAATAAAAAGGTTCAATTTACTCATAACAACCATCACACACAGCCACGCTAATTAAATCAGTCACATTATTATAGTTAGATGCTCTGGACTCAGAGTTTAATATCCCACCAGCTTAGATAGCGAGGCTTTCTAGATAAGGGCCCATGTATAATGATGTCTTTTAGATGGCAGCGATGACCATCTATCTGACTTTTCATATAACTCACAGTCTTCAGTGCAATAACTAACTTGTATAATGAGTCCAATGGAACTGTGGCAGACAGCATCCAGTGGTTTTAAGGGTAGAGGCAGCACCAAGAGCCTTCAGGATATCCACATAATCCAGTCTAGACAGTTTGGTGCATTGTATAAAAGATTTTCTGTTTTCAGTGGAGAAACAAGCTCTGATTTGGTGTAAGAGGCCAATTTTTAATGTTTAATCAAGATGTTCAACATGAGTTTTGTAGGTCAATCTGCTGTTCATCCAAATTCATAGGATTGAATTTGGAACGTCAGTGGTTTGTGCAATATAAACATTTGTCTTTTTGAACTTTAGAGTTAAGAGTTGGAACTAAGTTTTAAGTTAGAGAGGGAAGTATGCAGGTCATCGAAGGCAGGCTTCCCTGTAGTCTGGAAAAAGCCTGTGAAGTATGTGGATCCTTTGGAATTACCTGGGCTGATTTGACCTAGTTTCAATATAGACAAATAGAATATGTTCAAACTAATAACACACAAACAGCTATAATGTCGTGCCTTTATTGAACACACCCATTAAACCTTCACTGTGTTGGTGGAAAAACTCATTCCTGAATTTAATGACGCCTCAAACTTCCTTTAGCAACATTTTTGAACAGGCGCTTTCTGTAGCTGTGGATCAGACCTGCACAGTGTTCAAGGGGGATTTTGGATCATTCTTCATCACAGAGCTGACCCAGCTCTTAAGATGCCTGGTGTGCACAGCTCTCTGTGCTCATTCTACAGCATCTCTGTTGGGTTCAGGTCTGGGCTCCTAAAGTCAGTCTGTAGCAGATTTACCTCAGTGTTTAGGTTCATTGTCCTGCTGCGTCACCTGACTTCTGCTCAGCTTCAGCCACCCTGACATTAACTTGGATGATACTTTGATAACCCTGGGAATTAATTTTCTCCTCAGTGATGACAGCTGTCCAGGCCCAGAGGCAGCAACGCAGCTTCAAATCATGGTGCTCCCTCCACCATACTACACCTTTGGGATGATGGTGTTTTTTTCACACCATACATGTTCTTCCCAAACAATTCAGCCTTAGTTTCATCCATTTACAAAACATTTTTCCAGTAGCTTTATGTCAGGGTGTTCTTGGACCAGCATCAGGCACTGGCTTTTAGGAGAGCAGCAGCTCCCTCTGTGGTGTCCATGCTCCCTGCAACCATGCACCGTGATTTGTGTATAATAGACTCACAAACAGAGACTTTAACCAGCTCTGATGATTCAGTTCAGCCGTTAGTTGTTACTCTGGCTTTCTGTTTTTACCTCACTGAACATTCTGCGTTGAGCCTTTGAATTCGTCTTAGCTGGGCTCTGTAGCTGTAAAACAGTTTGTCTGACTGACCTGAAGAGTATCTAAACTCCTGGAGATGGCTTTGTAACCTCTTTTTAGCTTTATACAAATCAACAATTCCTGATCATAAGTCATCTGAGTTCTCATTCTTGTGATGCTTTTTGTGAAAACTCAAAAGGCTTCACAAGTCACAGTAGCTCTAACCCACACCTCCAGTGCTGGGTTTCAGGTTTGCTAACACCCGACTCCACTTAGCTTTCGTTGTCATCATTAGCCTGGGGGCTTACATAGCACTTCCAACCTGCACCGTGAGTGTTTGAAAACTGTATTCTGTGTGAAGAAGAACAAGACTTGTGTTATTAGTTAATATGCTATAATATATGCAGAAATGCATTTAATTTCATGTACATAAATTAGTACACAACCTCCTTTATTTTTCCTTTTCTAAACGAGTTCTGTCCAGTAATGTAGAAGTCATTGTCAGGAATCTTAGCGCTGAGCCAGGTTTCTGTAAGAATAACAATGTCTAGGGTCGTGTCCATCAGTAACACATTCACAAAGTCCAAGTTTGGAAGCAGACTCCTGATATTTAGGTGTATGTGATGAAGCCAGTGACAGTTGTGCATTAATTTAATTACTTTCATAACATTATATGTGCCTGTATAATCAGTGTTATCAGGATGATATAAGATTCTCAAATGCATCACTGTTATCTCTGCAGTTCTGCCTGGGCAGCTGTACAGCGCTGTGGATAGTGGGAATGGTATCCAAAGGTGAACTGTTATGTAACAGTCATTGGAGTGTGGCTGACTCGCCAAACATCACTTAGAAAGCATCCTAATGGATAAGGCAGTAAGAGACAGTAGTCAGGTTCCAGCCTTGTTTGGGTGAGGACCACCCCTGACAAACAGGTCTTGTCTGGCCCACAAAGACTGCAGTGTTGTCCACGAAAGGCAGATCCCAAAACTGTGTGTGACCCAGACCCTGAGCTGTGTAGGAGTAGTGGATGATTCCCTCAAGCAACATGTCTGAGGACCCAAAAAGCTCGAAAGCAGTCCTCAGGCAACGGCCAGCTCACAGCTGGTCCCAATAAGTCTGAAAGGACTTAATGTGTTAAAGCCACAGTCAGTGAGAGTGGACCCTGGGACTTGGCTAGTGTACTGTACAAGTTATCCTTAAAAATTTGTTTCTTTCCTTTTTTTTAGGACACTGCTGGACAGGAAAGGTTTCGCACCCTGACGCCTAGCTACTACCGCGGTGCACAGGGAGTCATTCTGGGTAAACAGCTGATACTTGCAGAGCTACATCAGTTTTCAGTAAACCAAGATCTCAGTTTCTCTTCTCTCTGTATCTTGTTTACTCCCACGTGATCCATCCTTCACCACAGGAATACTGTCAGTCAGTCCTTACTTATTATTTGCTTATAATTTTGGTGACATAGAAATTGACACAAGCTTAATACCCAAACAGTAAATCAGCAGCTTGCAGATACCAGCAGTGTGTTGTTCAGTGTTAGCATGTTACTCTACTAATATAATATGTTGATTTTCTCTGACTTCTCTCCTCAATTTTTCAGTATATGACGTCACAAGGCGTGACACTTTCACAAAGCTCGGAAACTGGCTGAATGAACTGGAAACCTACACAACACGCAATGATATCGTAAAAATGCTAGTTGGGAACAAGATTGATAAGGTCAGCAACTGAACAAATTTCATTTTTTCCATTAGCACGTCACCTTTACAGATGTTGGATTATTGGTACAGCACAGACAGTATTGTAAGACTTAATCATCTCTTAAATTTGAACTTCGTCTTTGTAAATACAGTATTTTTCATTACTTAAAAGATGATGTAGCACAAAAATGCCCAGAGGTGCTTTTACTGCACTTGTGTAGGTCATAATGTTTAAAGATTTACCATGTGTATTCCACATTAGGAAAATTACTGAGGATGTCTGTTTGGTTTTCAGGATGACCGTGAAGTGGACCGAAATGAAGGCTTGAAATTTGCTAGAAAACACTCCATGCTTTTTATTGGTAAGTGTCCATGTTAAAGTAAAATCAGATGTGCTCAGACATGGTCATTTAAGCTAATAGAGCTATAAAATGTAACTCGCAGCCATTTAAATGTACCATGCTCTGCTTAAAAATCTGATATGTAGTTCCATAGTTGAAAAAGTCAAGACATGATTTAGTAAGTAATGCATTTACTTTGGCTTTGTTGCATTGTGTGGACTGAATACGGGTTTTTTAGTCTCTCTCAGTGCTGCACAAAAAGATGCAGCCACTCCAGAATGAGTGCATTATGATTATAATCTAGTTGGCTTTAATTTTTTTGTACCCATGTCCGCACATGTTCATGATTCTCATCTCCAATCTGCCCTTCCTTGGGAAATTAGGTTAACTTTTCTGTGGAGTTTCCATTTTAGAAAGTCTAAATTAAGGGGATTTGAGAAGGGCTGGGCAGGAAAGATGTTGTGGGTTTAATCTGCTCTAAGGATGTCTGCTTCTTAAATGAAGTTATATCATAGATGTCTTTTTCTAGTGATTTTTACTGATCTCAAAATCTTGGTAACCACCATTCTTTTATACAGAGGCCAGTGCAAAGACCAAAGATGGCGTCCAGTGTGCCTTTGAGGAGCTTGTGGAGAAGATCCTCCAGACTCCGGGGCTCTGGGAGAGCGAAAGCCAGGGTCAGAAGCTCCGTTTCGGGGACCAGCCGCAGGCCAGTGGCAGGGCATGTGGTGGATATTGTTCCATATCCTGAAACAGGACAGAACAATAGAAACACCAACCTGATACAAGTGACTACGGGCCCATACCAGAGAGAAAATGATAGAATGAGAGGGAGAGGCAGAAGTTAATGAGTGCTTTTATAAGAATTTCATTGTTGGAGTAGTTCTATCAGTCCATCAGACTTTGCTGTTTGCACACTTCCTTTACAACAACCCTCTGTCTCATGTCATTACTTTCTCTTTCAAACTCAAGTGAAAGGATTATACACAAATAGTCTCTTTTTAAGAGAAGTATAGTATTTTAAATTAACCATGCCAACTATGTCATGTGACTGCATGTCTGGTTTGAATTTATCGTACTGGCAACTGATCCTGTTGAACATTAAGGCATCGGGTTAATAGTGTAGTGCCTATACCATGAGTCAATTTGTAGGTTGCAGTACACAGATTGTCACTTTTTTTTTTCTTTTCTTCAAAACAATGATTTATAATCAGTTAGGAAGTCTTTAAGGTCCTTTACATCTATGGATTTGCCAGCTTTATCACAAGTATGTCAACATTGTGTGGGTTGAGGATAGTGGTGGCAGAGACCTGTTATGCACCAGATCACTGTGAATGCTCCCAAAGATGACATATCACAATGGACCCCAGTTACTGACACCGCTTTATTTTTTTTACTGTTAGTTCAGTTATTCACTTTATGTTGACTCCCATCAAATTCTATGCCTATCTAATATATAGATGTTTTCAAATAAACTGATTTTCGTTGTTTTCCCTCTTAATATGGAAGTATGTAAGTCAAGTAATCATCCTTGTCGTGTCAGGTTTCCTGCAACATAACCTGTTTGTCTTCGTCTTTGCATGTCTCATCTTCCAGAGCTACAAGTTGAAGGCTTATAGTATTGAGAGCTCTGGCAATAAAATGTGTTCTTTTACTCACTTGAGCTCACTGCCTGTGCGTATCTGCATTTTAGTCTGACCTTGGTCCTGTAAGCTTATTTTTTCACAATTATTTAGTAATTCCTGTGTGGTGTTGTAGTTCAGAATGCATCACGTTACAGATTGAGAGCATTCCTAAAACCTTCATTCCTTCCTTGGTTTGGTATGGATTTCATGGATTATTGCTGTTTGTTTGAATTCTGTTTTCTTGTTTAAATTGATGTTGACCTCTTCCCTGCTTTTATCCCTGTACTTTTTCCTGTTGCTGTGCGTCTGTTTGAATCATCCTATACAGCAATAAGGTAAACTAATATCTGCCTTAACATAGACTGAAGTTTGCTAGGGTCGTGGTAAAGCAACGTTTGTAGTGTTTCAAACTGAAATAAATGACAACCTCAAGATGGCGTCACTCAAGACTAACAATTGTTTAATTGCCGTTTGAGCGCTGCTGTAAGTTTCCGTGTTGTGTAAAAGCCCGTCTAATCAGAAGCAGGTTTACACTGGAAACAGGAGTGAGGTGCTCTTTCCATAATACTTTGTTGATGACTAGCCTGTCACGCAAGATTGAAAACACTCTTTGCACAAAATGTTTAATGGACCAAGACCAGGATACAAGTGGAAAAGTCCTGTTAATCATGTTTTCTAAAGTAGTCCCAGAGGCCAGTGTGTGATTACAAGCTTATGTTTGGTGTCAGGATGTCCCCAGATGGAACAGGACGCTCCCCACAAATCTCTCCACAGAGGGAGTAGCAGACATTTTCCCGAGGCTTAACATGTTCTCTTTATTTCCAGTGTTTTAGAGTTTTTGGCAGTTTACCTCATATTGAAGCCATCTGGTATGAAAGTAACACTTCAACATCAAAAATCAAACAAGAGGTGTGTGTTTCACCTATCATAATGATTTGCAGTTTGAGAGAAAGAAACTGTTCCTTAGGGGCATAAAAATGATATCCTTCTTTTGAGCCCCTCACCCTGTTTCATCACTAGATGTTTTGCCCACTTGAGGGCAGTGGAAACAAGCTGTACAGACAACACTTAAGCATTACCTTTACAGGTTGGTATGGTGAACTCGGCAGCAAACATTTGCCTGTTCATACATGGATCAACATTAATATTCATTTGGAGTGATATTTCTGGTGCCACTCTGCGTTGATGTTGTCTTTTCCCTGGTGCTGGATGGTGAAAGCTGTGTAGAGCTACTGGAGAAAGCAGAGTCAGGTATTGATTATTGTTTGTACTTCATCACTATCAGCGACTCCTGTCATGTGATCAACTGATAATAAATATTGGTTTTAGCCATCTTCAGTAGACCTTTCATACAGCAGACATTTTGAGTAGTTGTAGGAAAAGTACTTTTCATTTATAGTCTGCTGGAGTTGTGATTGTGGTGCCATCCAATGTTCACTCTCCATTTAGCTGTAACTCCAGAGGGAGGCTGGTTTCCTGCTAAATGTTCACCAGCTTGTTGCTATCTTTGTGTCAGTTTGCTAGTGTTCAGTTGGTTTTTAGAGCTTTTTCCACAAAAACAGCTGCGGGTTGTGGCCAAAAACAACAAGCATAGTGATGCTGAGCCAAAACAGCAAGGGTCAGAAAACAAAACACAAGTTGAAAGATACTACAAAGCTTTGTAAAGCTTAGAAAAAAAGGCACAGTTGGGATAATTCCGGGGGTTCGTCACCATGCGTTAACTTTGAGATTGTCAAATAGTGTTTCATTGATGTTTGCTGAGTAACACACGTACACTATTTCAACAATGTGCTCCTGTTCATCTATTGATCATCTGTGTTCTTTAGCCAGACTTTAACCTCAGCAGAACTGTCTTCCTAATAGTTAACTATGCCACCCTCCTGTCCACATTACAACTTTTTAAAAAGCAATATCAAAGGATATTATGTGAGACCCACAATTGCACACATAAAAACTACCACTAAATACAGTTTAGTAAAGACATAGCTATGCAGCATCAGCCACTGCAAAGCAATGATTTAAAGCAAACGGCTGGTTTAAAGAGTTCACATTTTTTTATTCAAATAGCTGCTGTCAAACATTAGCATTGGATGATAATCCAGTCTCATGGAAGTTAATATATCTTACTGCAATGGGAGAACATTAGAAACAGGGGGAGAAACAGGAGAAAGAGCAGTTAGGTTTTCCAATTACACTGTAAAAATGATTGAAAATGTCAAAGTTGATCAGCATTAAAATAATAGCCTCAAAGGCTGTGCATATATCGCAAGGCACTTAAACATCTGGTATTCCTATATGGAACAATGTGCTTAGACCAGACGCCTATGTTTAATGCCTACACGCTGTTTGCCAGCGCCACTTTAACAGTCTGGACCTCAGAGATATGAGAGGACTTCTGGATGATGCGGCTGGTGAGAGTGGACCCTGCGGTGCAGCTCAGTCTCAGGGCAGACACAGGCCCTGTAACACACACCCTGTCTCTGACTGTGGTCCCCACGGAGAAGGGCTCTCTGGTGCAGCTCTGTAACATGGCAGCACCGGGAACCGTAACACTGCTCTGGTCCCCCGCGTGGCTCTGCCCGTGGGCCAAGTTGGTCAGAGCCACAGCGGCGTGGATCTCCCTCCAGTCCTGGTCCCCTGGTCTCTGTTTGCCCCAGTTGTGCTGCTGCTGCTTCCTGTGAATATATTAAAGAAAAGCAGCAGCATATAAAGTGGGTTATTGAATATCATTGCACCTCCTGCCAATTTAACCAGAACAATATAGCCACAGAGCAATGTTAGAAATCCAGAAGTGAAATGATTCACTTGCTTGGATATCTTCTCTTGATAAAGAGCCACAGATCAATCAGAGGTTGCGGTTCAATTTCAGGAACAGCTGCCCAGTGACGTTACGTTTTTGTTGAAAGTTGAAAAGTGCAAACAGCTGATTATATTGCAAAATGGACAGTGAATAATTACATTCGCAGTACCTGTCATGTTTGTTTGAGTTATAGTCCACTGTATCTGCAAGAGAGAAGAAAAAGAACCATCACAGCATCTCATGAATCTGTTTCCTTGATAGCAGTGAAAGAGAAAGCAGAATATTTACATGACAGTCAGTTTTTGGATGACACTACTTTGCGATATGAATATTTTTAATTTGCAGCATATGTGTGAATATTTTTGTGGCTTCATGAGTGATTGTGTACTGTATATGCATGGATTTAGTGTTTGTGCATAGGTGCTTCCAAATGCACGTGTGCATGTGTGAGCGTTACAGCTATGACCTTTTCCAGTATGTCTCTCAGGATGTGTTCTGCGGTGCCAGAAAGGTTTGACTCAGTGAAGTGCACCAGTCTGCCTGAGCTCAGTTAGTCTGGCCAAAACAAATACAATGTGTTGTTTCTCTTGAGCTTTTGTAAGGAAAAAATCTGATATCTGCATCATGTCACAAGGACAGACGCTTTGTTTTGAAGTTTTGAAAGCTCATCACCCACCTGTAAATGTTTGTCCGTAGTGTGTCATGTCTGTTCCAAAACTGCCCAAACACATCTCCATCTTTTGTGACCAAAGCCTGAGCACTGAAATAACTTAATGCTAACAGGCAAGGGATTGCCTTATAAGTAAGTGCATCTGTGAGAGAAAGAAGTGTCCGTCCTTCTCACAGTGACCTGAAATGAAACTGCAGTATTGCTGGGTATTTCAGAGGCAGGGTCAGGATAAGGAGGACTTTGGAGTAACATTATATTGCTTGCACAATTTTTATTTGTGGTCTATGCATAAGCGTTTCAGTTTTGGAGTATTGCCTTTTTCATTGGAGCAGATAGAAGCTAGTCAAAATCCATTTTTCTTCCGAGAGCAATAGACAGAGAAATTAGAGGCCCACTGAGAAGCACAGTCTTTCAAAGCTAACAGCCCGAAACATCCCCATCTCTGATTTCTTTAGCCATGCTGGAGCCAAAAGCAGCTACGTTTTGATAGTAAATCACTCTCCTGCTTTATGCTTTTTTGCTACTGAACTTTCCTTAGCATTTCTCTTTTTAGCTATAACACATTGCCAAGGAATTCCTTTTATATTGTTGTATTTATAACCAGGAAAAAACTTAATTTTACCTCTGGGGAGTCTCAAGTTTAGAGCAGGGGTTGGTTACAATGAAATTTTACAAGGGTAATGAGGCTACACACTGCTGTTTTAATATTACATTGTGCTGCAGTGGTGCAGTGTACATTTAACACAGTATAATTTAATGTTGGAGCTTACAACTACACTTATTTTTTTACATATAATGAATAGTGTGACATTCTGGGACATATATGTGCTAGCTACACTAGACTAGCTGTTTCCCCATTTCTTGTTTTTCTGCTAAGCTAAGCTAACCATCTCCTGGATTAATATTTACTAAACAAATGTGATATAGGTAAGAAAGTTCATATATAAGTTATAAGAAGAAGAAGATTTGTACTTTATGAGACTTAGCTTTCTTTTCTTATGTACTGTAGGCCACATACAATGAAATCATGCCAACATGACTTGATTTAAGTCTTGGTTGTTCTCCCACAAGTTTTAATTTCTTTATGACCCCAAGTCATTTACACCAGTATGGCACTGGGATCCACACTGCAAACCAGTTACACTGAATAAATAATGTAACATTGTATTTTATGAATTCAAATATGTGTTTCTGAACACCAGACTCCCCTCTCCCCACACCTGGTTTCATTTGAAACAAACTACAGCAGGTGGAAAACACAGTGGGGCATTTGTCCAGATATGTTTTTCGGCACTCTGTGTCTTAAAACATGATTCTTGGCACATTTATGGATCTCCGGGCTTTTTTAAGAAAATTCTGAACTTGATGTGAGTCCTGCCACGTTATCCTGTACAGTGAATACTAACAACGGGAAGTCTTTGTAAGTAACGGTGTAGTGGCATCACATGAGGTTTAGTAAGTCTTTTAGCCACCCCCGGGGAACAGTATAAACGTGTTAATGGTGTTGGTGCCTGTCATGGATCTGGCAGTTTGATTTTCCACTTCACCTGCACAGAGAAACTGTACTGGGTTGCAAACACACTTAATATGACCAACAGGGATACATTAAAAGTTTGCACAAACATTACAATAACATCGCCCAAAGTGTGTGGCGACATCATGAACCCCCAAATACTTAGCTCAGGTCAAAGACTGGGAATACTGTAGAGAAAAACAGAAAGCCTGGCTTATCCAGACTCTCCCTATAAAACCACAGTTTTAGTTTTGTTTTTACTTCTCTGCCTTTACATAGATTATAGACTATGGTTTAAAGGCAAATTTAAAAGGGAAGTCACTGCTTTGGGTTCATTCAGATTAAAGACTGCAAATTAAAAGCAACACCAAAAGAGAAGCCAGTGCTTTGGTTTTGTACAGATTAAAGACAAAAACAAAATATAAAAGGAAGCTATTGCTCCTGGCCAAGAAATACCTAGCCAAACACATGACTTGACAGCAATTTTACCCATAGGTTTCACAGTACAGATTAAGCAAATTATTTTTTTCAAGTTTTAATTGGTGTTGAAATGTGGATTCTGATACTTCTGAACAAAGCCAGACTGTCTGATTTTCCCTTTTTTTTAGACTTAAGCTGATGCTCGCTCAGCTAAAAGGTAGCAATGGGTGTAATTAAAAATAATTAGTGGACCTAGCTAATTTTTTTAGCCTGATATCAACACTTATTTTAAATATGATATGCCTAATTTGGGGTCAGAAAAGCCAACCAACTCAATGTATCTGAGTTTGATTAACTTAGAAAAAAATAAGTAGGAAAATTGTTGCTTTTTTTAAGGGGTGGCAGACTTCCCAGCATACAATGTTTGAAAGTTAACACTCTCCAGAGTCTCTTTTATATTTTGAAGAGCTCCTTCATGGTGGAAACATTTCTGCTTGTCTGTAATATATATTAAAATAAGTTATGGTTGTTTCTTTTCACCCCTCCTTGAACCACCGCCTTATTGTGGTGGAGGGGTTTGAGTATCCAAGTGATCCTAGGAGCTATGTTGTCAGGGGCTATATGTCCCTGGTAGGGTCTCCCAAGGCAAACAGGTCCTGGGTGACGGGTCAGACTA